CCCAGAAACATCACCCTGAAGTGGTTCAAAAATGGGAATGAGCTCCCAGCCTCCCAGACCAACGTGGACCCAGAGGGAGACAGCGTTTCCTACAGCGTCTCCAGCACAACGAAGGTGGTGCTGGCCCCGGGGGATGTTCGCTCCCAGGTCATCTGCGAGGTGGCCCACGTCACCCTGCAGGGGGACCCTCCTCTTCGTGGGACGGCCATCTTGTCTGAGACCCTCCGAGGTAGATGCCCCTCAGCCTAGCCCAAGCCCACAACTGCCCCCAGGGCCCCAAGCCCACTCCTCCCCCTGCTGTTTGCTCCAGGCCTGAATTTCCTGGAATCTAGTTCCTGACCGTCCTTGCCAATCACCAGGCACCTGGATGTGCTGGTCACTCACCTGTTTTAACGGCAGCTGCCAGGTGAACACCTGCCATGTGCCAGGCTCGAAGCTAGGTCGTGTCGTCTACTTTACCAATAGCAGCTCCAGTTACTGAGCACCTACTCTAAGCCCAACCCCTGCCTACTTGGTGATTTCATTTATTTTGCTACAGTTATTCTGCTCCCACTGTATGCCAGGGGCTGTGATTCTTGATTTCACTCCTTATGACCCTAATAGGAGCTACCAGTCCCTGAGCACCTACTGTGATCCTGGCACTGTGCTTTGTGATCTTATTCACATGAAAAGAGCACCCTCAGTGTTTGAGTGCCTGCTGCATGCCTAGCACTGTCCTGGTGATTCCTGTCTGTGATGGGAGCTAAGTTATGGAGCCCTCCTCTGTGATCTGTCTGTTCCATAAGGTCAGAGCTTCTGCCCTGTGCTGTTTCAGTTCCGCCCACCTTGGAGGTTTCCCAACACCCCATGGTAGGGAACCTGGTGAACGTCACCTGCCAGGTGAACAAGTTCTACCCCCGACACCTAAAGCTGACCTGGTTGGAGAATGGAGACATGTCCCGAACAGAAATGGCCTCAACACTCATAGAGAACAAGGATGGGACCTTTAACTGGACGAGCTGGCTCCTGGTGAACTCATCTGCTCACAGGGAGGATGTGGTGCTCACCTGCCAGGCGGAGCATGACAGGCAGCCGGCGGTCACCAAACACCAGACCCTGGAGGCCTCTGCCCACCAGAAGGAGCAGGACACAGGTGGAACCCCTGGTGAGGCCTCCACTCCAACTGAGCTGGCTCTTTTAAAATTTTATCTTTTTTATAGTCATTAATGCTTGTTATAGAATAATCTAGAAGTTTATAAATATAAAGCACAACTTGGAAGTGAGCTAGCCTCTCCCAAATCAAACACTCCAAGAGTCACCACTGGTAAGAGTTTGGTGCATATCTTTATAGATCTGTTGGTATAAATATACGTTAAAGAAAAAAGAAGGGAAGGAGGGAGGTCATCCTTTTCATAGCATCCGCCTCTTGCTTTCTCTACCTAACAATGACTATGTCACCATCAACGTCAACCCACTTCCCTCTTCCTTGTTCTTTGTAAGCTCTGCCTAGTCTCTATTCCGTCCTAACAATGACTATGTTCACCATCCACGTCAGCCCATCTCTCTCCTCCTTGCTCTCTCTAACCTCTGCCTAGTCTCTATTCCATCCTGGACTTTTCCATCCACATCATTAATGTCACTCCAGCAGATGCCTGCACCTGCTAACTACTCTGTGAAAT